TCCCAGAGCTCCCTGAGCGACCAGCAGACGGTCCCAGGGAGTGAGCAAGTGCAGGAGGATCTCCTGATCAGCCCTCAGTCTTCATCTATAGGTACGGCCATTTCTGCAGTTACACATCCCACCCGAGCACTGAGGATTTCATTGAAGGAAATCTGCCTTGTAGGTGTTCATGCTACTCCCTTTGTCCCCCTGATTTTTGAAATCCTACACGTAAACTTGGAGTTCTTTAAATAATTTGGCAGAAGTCTTCCCTCAGTCTTCATTTATAGGTATGGCCATTTCTGCAGTTCCATATCCTACCTGAGCACTGGGGATTTCATTGGAGGAAATCTGCCTTGTGGGTGTTCATGCCACTCCCTTTTTTCCTCTTGATTTTTGAAATACTACACATAAACTTGGAGTTCTTTGCAGGAGGCAGCCCTCAGTCTTCATCTATAGATATGACCATTTTTGCAGTTACATATCCCAACTGGCACGTGAGCACTGGGGATTTCATTGAAGGAAATCTGCCTCATGGGTGTTCATGCCACTCCCTTTTTTTCCTCCTGATTTTTGAAATATTGCACATAAATTTGGAGTTCTTTAAATAATTTTGCAGAAGTCTGCCCTCAGTCTTCATCTATAGGTATGGCCATTCCTGCAGTTCCATATCCCACCTGGAACCTGAGCACTGGGGATTTCATTGGAGATCTGCCTTGTGGGTGTTCATGCTTTACTTTTGTGAAACTCCCTTTTTTCCTCTGATTTTTGAAATCCTACACATAAACTTGGAGTTCTTTGCAGCAGGCAGCCCTCAGTCTTTATCTATATGTATGGCCATTTCTGCAGTTCCATATTTCACCTATGTAGGATTTCTGCAGTTCCATATCCCACCTGAGCACTGGGGATTTCATTGGTGGAAATCTGCCTCATGGGTGCTCATACTTTATTTTGGTAAAACTCCCTTTTTTCCCCTTGATTTTTGAAATATTACACATAAACCTGGAGTTCTTTAAATAATTTTGCAGAAGTCTTCCCTCACTCTTCACCTATAGATATGTCCATTTTTGCAGTTCCATATCCCACCCGAGCACTGAGGATTTCATTGGTGGAAATCTGCCTCGTGTGTTTTCATGCTTTACTCTTGTGAAAGTCCCTTTTTTCCCTGATTTTTGAAATATTACACATAAACTTGGAGTTCTTTAAATAATTTTGCAGAAGTCTGCCCTCACTCTTCACCTATAGATATGGCCATTTCTGCAGTTCCATATCCTACCAGAGCATGGGGATTTCATTGGAGGAAATCTGCCTCATGTGTTTTCATGCTTTACTCTTGTGAAAGTCCCTTTTTTTCCCCTTGATTTTTGAAATATTGCACATAAACTTGGAGTTCTTTAAGTAACTTTTCAGAAGGCAGCTGAGAATGGTGAGCCTGTGGTAGCCCTCTT